ACTTAACAACCTTCAAATTTTACTGTGAACATATATATAAAAAGACTTGTCATGAGTTCCATATTTCAATAGCCAATATGTGTTACCATGACAACATATTGAAAGCCGAAATAGGCATCTTTTTCAACTTGATTATTCAAATTGATCAATTTTTACAAAAACATCACATCTGTAGCGATTATTACACCTTAGTAACCATTTGCAAGTGTTGACATTTTGGCAATTTTTACTTGTGTAATATTTATGTTTTTTTTGCTTTAACTGGAAAAGTAATTTGGCACAATTCTGTTGAAATTTTATATTTAAATTCTTAGAAGCATTTTACACTTTCCAATGGCATGGTTAGTAAGTTTTTCAAAACTGATGTATACTAGCACCTTGGTAATTTTCCAACACATGGCTGCCATCTTTAAAATGGTGGCTGGTTAAAATACACACATCTTTATGATTTTTGCTGTAACTCGCAATTAAAAATAGTTGGGTGATTTTGTTTATATTTGATGAACAAATTTTAAAAGTTTAAAGAGATCGGGTCTCCTAAAAACACAATTAGAGTTATCCCCTGATTTTTTCGTGTTTTATGTAAAACAAGTTTGTTTATCAACTTATCAATTCTGAGGCTTGAATTAATTTGTTAACAGTATCAATTCGATGATTGATCCTAGCCATGAATTTCCACTTACATCAATAGAAATTCAAATTCAAATTTAAAAAGCCCGCTCAAATTTGTTCTAGTCTGATTGGCTTTTTCCTTCAGATTATTTTGGCACAGAGAAGCCATATTTATTACTTCTAAGGGGTTACAATGTATATAAATCCCCAAATCTGTTTTCGACTTATTGCATTCAGTTGGGACAGTTGGTTGTTCTTTTGGTTGTCCTGTTGATATCCTCAATATATTGGTGATATCGTGCTTATGATTTGGTCTCAAGATATATCTAAGGTATATATGATGTTTTATGAGCAATTATATTGGGACATTGCTGATTGTCCAGAATAGAAATCTGGATGACTCGATCTCTCTAAGGTTCATAGTTGCAAACTCAAACACTGGTTGCTGGATCTGGTTCAAATTTCATATGCCGATGCTTTAGCGACATAGGATCTCTGCTCACGAGAACATTTTTAAGCTGGCCACTTATTTGACATTGTCACCAATTGTCATGAAGAATGTAATTTTGATAACTTAGATGCAAGTCAAGGATTTGGTTCAAATTTTCTGGACTAATTTCCCATGTTAATGACACCTTTGCTCAAGAACAAAATGGCTGCTAAATTTAGAATGGCTACCATTATTTACAGGGTCCAAAACTTTTCATTCTGATGTCCTATGGACATAAAACTTTTCCAAAAGGAATTGTCTAATATTGTGTCATGCACATCATGGGTTAAGATTGTGCCAAAAGGAGACAATACTGTTCTACTTCCTGCTCATTTGTATTACGAAATGTATTTTAAAATGATGGGATTTGCTAATCCAGGGAATGGCTGTTTTCTAGTTATTTATCTTTATTGTAGTAAACTCAGTTCTACCAGCAGCTAATGCTGTCATGGATCCAAAGATGGCGCCCCCTAGTGAACTACAGGCGAAACTTTTACGTCAAATAATCATGACAGGCCTTTCGGATCACATTGCAAGGTATTTATATCACATTTAAGTAAAAGATACTTAATTTCAGTAATTCCTCAAAATACCCACTTACTAAATCACTAAGTTAAGATTTGATTATTTAGTGAGAATTTAGAAATGTTATCCAGAATAGAGTGTGAACAAGGACTCTCAACATGAAATAATCCATATGAAATGGAAGCAATTATCGGTGAAGATCACTTGTGGATTTTAATTATATATTATAAAGTTTCAATGAATAACCACAATTGGATTTGAGTCATCATTAAGTTTCCATGAATAACCACAATTGGATTTGAGTCATGTGGTGTTTAGGTTTATTGTTTTGTTGACGGATATTTCAGGAAACTTCAGGAACCAAGTACTGGAACAAATGAAGAAAAGAAGAAGTTAAAGATGGCATATCAGGTTAGTCTTCACGATGTATTCTGTATGTTGGTCTATCATTATTAGGAGGCCCTCCTGAAAGGGCCTCCTATAGCTTTTGTAGCTTTTCTTTATTCTTCTTCTTATTCTATCAAAGCATTTTTCTCCTACTTCCAACTAGCTTTCAACTACCTACTATATGATCCTACTAGGTACCTTGGCTGAAATTGGGGGGAAAATATTTTTTATCTAGGTCAAGGTCAAAGGTCAAAATCTAGGTCAAATCTAAGCTTTTTTTCAAGTTTCTCAAGTTTGTCATTATACTTCATTATTTCTTGCGATGAATTAAACTGAAACTACATTTAAGTATTCTCTACAAATTGTTCACTATATGTCAGCATTAAATTTTTACCGTTTTTGAGATATTTGACGTCAAAAAACGGTCAAAAGAGGTCATTTTTCAACTTGCTTCAATCTGACCAATTTTTTTTTTAAAAATCATCTTCAAGTTCCCAGGAGTCCAAATCTGACTTCAGATTTGACATTTGACCTTTAGTTGACCTTCAGTGACCTCCGAAAGGTCAGAAAAGTTGATTTTTCAAATTGAGTCTTTGGATTCAAATTTAGGTCAGTCTAATTACAAAAAGCCTACTGAGGTCTAAAAACGTAAAAATTTCAAGGTCAAAGGTCAAGGTCATCAAATTAGGTCACAAACTGTGCTATCTAAGTTTCTCATAGTTCAAGACTACAAATCAATATTTTTAATTGAAATTCAAGATATACATTCCTCTAAGGGTTCTACACATATTAGCCATTGACTATTTATTAAAAATGTTTCCCAGTTTTGAGATATAAGAGCTCAAAAACTGAAAAAGGTCAATTTTTCAAAGTTTATAAGGTCAAATTTTAACTTGCTTCAAATTCACCCAACTTTTTTTTAAAAATCATCTACAACTTCTCAGGAGTTCAAATTTAACCTCAGATTTGACATTTGACCTTTAGTTGACCTTCAGTGACCTTGGAAAGGTCAGAAAAGTTGATTTTTCAAATTGAGTGTTTGGATTCAAATTTAGGGTTAGCCTAATCATAAAAGACCTACTGAGCTCTAAAGCAGTAATATTTTCAAGGTCAAGGGTCTTGGTTATCAAATTAGGTCAAAGGTCAAAATCTAGGTCAAATCTGAATTTTTTTTCAAGCTTCTCAAATTTGTCCTTATACTTCATTATTTCTTGCGATGAATTAAACTGAAACTACATTTTAGTATTTTCTACAAATTGTTCACTATATGTCAGCATTAAATTTTTACCGTTTTTGAGATATTTGACGTCGAAAAACGGTCAAAAAAGGTCATTTTTCAACTTCCTTCAATCTGACCAAATTTTTTTTTAAAAATCATCTACAAGTTCCCAGGAGTCCGAATCTGACCTCATATTTGACCTTTGACCCTTAGTTGACCTTAAATGACCTTCGAAAGGTAAGAAAAGTTGATTTGTCAAATTGAGCCTTTGGATTCAAATTTAGGTCAGCCTAATTAAAAAAGACCTACTGTGGTCTAAAAAGGTAAAACTTTTCAAGGTCAAAGGTCAAGATCATGAAATTAGATCACAAACTGTGCTATCTAAGTTTCGCAAAGTTCAAGACTACAAACCAATGTTTTTAACCTGAAGTCAAAATATACACATTCCTCTAAGGGTTCTACACATATTAGCAATTGACTATCTAATAGAATTTTGTCCCAGTTTGTGATATAAGAGTTCAAAAGTTGAAAAAAGGTCAATTTCGAAATTTTTCAAGGTCAAATTTAAACTCGCTTCAAATTGACAAAATCTTTTTTTGAAAATCATCTACAAGTTCTCAGGAGTTCACATCTGACCTCAGATTTGATATTTGTCCTTTAGTTGACCTTCAAATTGTCAAAAATGCCAAAGAGGGCCTCCGTGAGATTGCTTGCAATCTTCAAAAGTCTAGTTAATTCATTGTAATGTTACTCATTGTACGACTTGTCAAGACAGGAAACATACAGGCTCATATCCAGGATTTGCCAAGGTTCACTTTTTAAAAAATTTCAGGGGGTTCACTTTTTACTACTTTGTCCCGATTAGGATCAAAATCACTGGAATAGTGATCAAAATGGTGAAAAACTGCATGATTTTGAAAGAATTTTTGGCCAGGGGCATTTGCTCGAACCCCTCAATCCACGCTCCCCTGGCTACTGACGTTACAGAATTGTATTATGTGTTTTCCTCTTACTTTAGAAGACAATAAAACGTTGTTTATAGTTTGAATATTTACAACAATATTTTCAATATCCAAACTTAAGATTTAGGCCATTTTGTCTGCACATACTTGAGCCTGATTAAGAAGTCCTGATATTTTTAATCTTTGATTCATAATGTCCATGTTCACTTGATTTGCAGTTCCATTATTTTCTCATTCTCAAGTGTGTCCAAATCAGATATAAAGTGGGTACAAACCTATTTCAAAATACAAGTGGTCACTCGACTCACTTGCTTTAATGCTCGGGAGATCACTGCTCCATGCTCAATGGCATTGTGATTGTTTAGATTTGCATACTTTTTTTTAGAGTATACACCTAGAAGAGCCTGTCTATATATATCCCAATTCTGTGCTATACAAACAAAGCCATGAATATGTAGTCTTCCAAGACATCACTGAAACATCAAAACTCTACATGAGAGGTGAGATCAGCTAAATTGTATTTTCATAACTGCATATGATAAATCGGACAAACTTTGGATGAGCTGACGAGGATAAAGTTAGAAAGAAGGGAAACTTCCAGAGAGAGGGTGCTAAGAAGGAAGAAAAACATCCGACACCTGGCACCATGTCAAGCGTTTATATACTGACACATATTAGTACTCACAAACTTAATGGCAGATAAAGAATAGAATTGAAATGATATATACATGTAATGAATATATAAACTCGTACATGCATAATTATATAAACCCGAAAATCATTGCAGTATTCTTCAATATTGTAGGTGTTTCCGTGATAGAGGCAGAGTGGCTGCCAGTGTTTGTGCCCCATGGTTGTACATTTTCTAAACCCCTTGACTCACCCCCACCTAGATACGATAGTTCATCAGGGAATGTTCTCGCACACATGACGAGTACATTTGGTAAGTTCCCATATATTTTTACTTATCTGTATCATCCATAACCTTTGAAAAATCTCTTTTTTACAGATTTCACTATTTTCAAAAAATAGATTTTATTACGTCATAACCGCCAGTAGTGACAAATAGTTATCCTCTCCAATTTTTTTATGGATGATGTTTGGCGTTTGATGTTTCATGGGCAGCTTTCGGTGGTTGGCTGTTAGCATCTGTAACAAATAGCAGGTTGTGACATTATACATGTTATTGCCTTGTTAAACTTGCCTTTAAAGATGATGGTCTGAATGATACCATGAATGAGGCAAGTGAGACGTATTGCCTCATTGGTATATGTTGTATGTTGATAGAGACACTTTACTACAGGTGTCCATTGTTGGGAAATCCCTGCAGTTGAGATGGAGTACCCAGAGTCTATAGACCGTGTCCAGTATTTCGCTAGGTTCCCATTGGTATATGTTGTATGTTAATAGAGACACTTTATTACAGGGGTCCGTTGTTGGGAAATCCCTGCAGTTGAGCTGGAGTACTCAGAGTGTATAGACCGTGTCAATTATTTCGCTAGGTTCCCATTGGTATATGCTGTATGTTAATAGAGACACTTTATTACAGGGGTCCGTTGTTGGGAAATCCCTGCAGTGGAGCTGGAGTACCCAGAGTGCATAGACCGTGTCAAGTATTTCGCTAGGTTCCTTTTAGAGGGACTTGTATGTCCTAAGCTGAAGCCCTTCAGAGAGGATCTGCTGTCTGCGCCTGCCACCATGAATAAGTCATGGACCAAGTAAGTATTTATATAACACACATCCTCAAGATGCATTGACAAAATATAATTATTTAAGCAATTTATTGTGTATGTCTGGATTTGCAATTTGTATTAGTCATATTCGTTTAACCCTTTGAGTGCCGGGGGTTTTTGGAATTGTTATGACGTCAAAATGCCACAGAATTACGACTAATATTGATGAAAAATGTCGATTTTTATGTTTTTGCCACTCCATGATATTTCTTCTACTGGTATCTATCTTGATGATATTGCAAGTGTTAAAATGCTTTATTTTCACTTTTAGTTACTATGGTAACATGTTGAACGTCACTTAATCAATACATATTTCAGTTCTTAGAGGGGTTTTATAGCTAAAATTAACATTGGAAATATCGCACGATTGAAAGAAAAAACTTTGAAAACTAAACGTAATTACTTTTAATAATGGCAATTATTGTTTCTTGCGCAACACATTTGGCGTAGCTTATTAAATATTTTAAGACAATAATTCAAATTAAAATATGATACAAATATTTATCCTCTTTCTTTTATTATTCCTTCTTTCAAATTAAAGAAATTGAGCATATACGAACAATACACATGCTATGCACAAAAACAATGAATAAATATACAATATCAGGATAATTCAAATTCATACAAATTCAGGATAACTTTAATTGGCTGAACATTTGTGATGTGTATAATGAACCATGGTTTAATTATGAAAGCCTACTTGTACTTGTTTGTATAAATCGTAAACGTGAAGCTAGTACCATGCGAAACAAGTGACCAACAAAATAGTATGTATAAGCCACATCTTATACATTACGTTATATAAACGAATCATGTCAATATGCTAGTCTGTTAGTATTTTCAGCACACATGGTGTCTGCAACAGTCCAAGTGAAGACCCTTGGCACACTTGGCGAATGCATTACGGAATTTACGCCTCCTGCCTGCATCTTTATCACTCCAAATACAAACGCACCAGTCCTTTTCCCGCGTTCCAGGAAGATTCCGGACCCTCACGATCGGCTGGTCAATGATGGATATCTACAACTAGGGAGGCGATGAAGGCCATGTGAAAGTCTAACCTTGAAAGCAGAGCTGCATTGTTTTCATTAGAAATTTTATTAGCATTGAGCAACATTCTCTGTATGATGTACACTTTCACTTTCTTCATGCTGGATATCTAGGGAGGCGATGACGGCCAGGTGAAAGTCTAACCTTACAAGCGGGGCTGGTTTTTTCCTTATAACTTTAAAAATAATCAATACTGCACTAATCCATTTTTATTTTCTGTTGAAAGTATACTGTGTGATATCTCAAACGTACTCAGACAACCAATTTTACTTTGGATAAACAATATTCCAAATCAGCCTATAGCATTAAGTGATTTAAATGACTGATATCTCAAACGTACTCAGTCAACCAATTATACTTTTGATAAATTATTTAAATGACTGATTTGTTAATTACGAAAATAGATCGAACATAGTCTGATTCCATCCATCACCTGGTATGAATGAAAAAGTCATTTTTATATCGTCCATGCTTCAACGTAGTGTAATACTTAAAATGATCAACACTGCTTTGCGCTAAACGCCGATCTCAAACGTACTCAGACAACCAATTTTACTTTGGGTAAACAATATTCAAAATTAGCCCATAGCATTAAATGATTTAAATGACTGATTGTTTTAATTATGACAATAGGCCGAACATAATCTGATTCCATCGTTTATCAAGAAGATGTATCAATTATTAGTCAGTTAGTATGGCCAAAAGCATTGTCAACTATATTTCGAGATAATGTTTGCGATATGAAATCTGTGAAAGATTCAGTTAAAACAAAAGATTTTTCCTTGGGGGAGATAAGGGTAGTTACGGAAAATAGTAGAATGTTTGTCATTATCCACAAAAAAAACTTTAATAGTATCGTCCTAAAAATGTTTTCTGCAATGAGGTACATGAAGGCATGCAGTTGATTATGCAAGTATTATAGAACCAAATACATGAAATAAAGTTTTCTTTGCGTGCAACTGCAACAGAGGTTTCAAGAATTTCTTGATAATATGAGTTTATTTCTCCATGTATTTGAATGAAGTTTGTTTGATGTACAAATCTTTCCTCGCCCAATGTTGAAGTACATTTGTACATTTTCAGATGGAAAAAGAATATCCCCGCTATTCTATAATACGAATTAAGGTGTAATAAATAGAAATGAACAAATATGTCAGCATTTTTCAATCTACGTGGATTCTGTAAAAGAACACGTAAGGTACGGTTTCAAAGTATACTGAAAAGGATATCTGCTTATACATTGATACATGCGCGGCCTTGACAGAACAAACCTACTAACCCATATACGTGGGCTACTAACCTAGATACGTCTAGCTAATTTGCATAAAGTTGTAGCAGTCTGAATCCACTTTTTTGCTCGAAACTCGCTGTATAAAAAATGGAATTTATTAGTCTTTAACTCTGCCGTTGATTGACAGACTTCGAAAAAATAATACCATGGCTTTGCTCGGAAGTATAGCTTTCCGATGGTTCCACTTCCGAATGACCAAATTGCGAGAAAATGGAGGAAATGGAGAGTAAAGGTGATTTCTCGAATGCCAAGTTTCACTTAAGAAATGCTGCGTTCTGATTGGCCGACTTTCTTGCAGTCCCAATCCACTTTAGCTCTCCAAACTCACGTTTTACAGAAATGACACTTATCGGTCTTTTCTCCGCCATTTTTCGATCGATTTCTAAAAGCATAATGTCATAGTGAAGCTTACATTGCCAGTTTCCAGATGGTATCACTTTTGAAGCGATCCACGTGCGAAAAGAAGGTAAAATTTGAGTGGGAAAAAGTTTCTCGATAATCGAAGATTCACTTTAGAAATACTGAGGAATCTGGCATTCTGATTGGTCAGTTTTCCTGCATTCTCAAGCCACTTTTCCGACTCCAAACTGAGTTGTTAGAAATGGCACTTACATCTCTCGATTTTGTTTCACAAAATGACTAATATCTGAAACTGATATACCTGAAACGTCAGTGTAAAGGATGAATCAAATCCGAAATTATTCAAGAAGACGAGGTTATATATAAAAACGATGAAATAAAACTAAAAACCTCTCTGGTTTTATGTAATTCTCGTCTCTGGAATGTCTGAAGAATACCTAAACCCCAAAGACTTTTGCCAAAAATAAATGAAACTAAAAATATTATTAGTAACTAGAACCCACGGGAGTAATTGTATAGGTTCTAAATAGCTGACTAACGCTGATATAATAGTTATCACTTTTGTTTGTTTTTGACTTTACTTGGGCCAGACCTCCATTCACTTCAATGCTAGAAACGTGCAATAGTCACTTAATTTCATGATTTATCAAAAAGTGTTGGTTGAATCTGTCTGAAACTCGAATGACATACTATTGGATGACCCTGTCAATGTACATATTGTGATTAAACATGAAATGTTGGTTGTCATACAAATTAGCCAAGGTTTGAATGAATTTTAGCATTGCTCCAATGGGGATTTGGCCCAAGTTTTTTCAAATGTCATGGAAAATGATTTAAATGACACAACTGTGTAAATCAAAGCTATATTGGAGAAAATTTGTCACTGAATTCAAATATGCTATCAAAAATAGAGGTAATAGAGATAAAAAGTGCAAATCTCTTAAAATCTCGACATGAAAAAACGAGAGTTAGCGAGATTTCAAAGCTAGATTTTCTATTGCACACGGTAGAATTTAAATGCACGCGAGTAAATTGTTATTTTATATATGTTCTTCTAATATGAATAAAAAAAATTGATGCCATCTCTATATTTATCATTGCCGAAATTATGTACAAGGGAGGTACTGTATATTGTTGCAATTCACAATTTCAGGGAAAATAGGCTGTAATCGGCCCTTGTGCCCTGGAGTAGAAATAAGCGATATCTAGGACAAAATATTTCGTATCATTAAATTTAAACCCCTTATTTATGTAAAATTCTTTAAAATTGTACTTACTGCAATATGATACTGCGAGCCCATCGTCTTCACTGGTAGGGTAAAACAGGTTAATTGTATTAAATAAACACAAAACTAAATAGTGGATTCTTTATATTTATGATCATTCAAACACTTTTTATTACTAGTGCATTTAATCATCTCAGCGTTTGCATATTCTTTGACAATATTGTCTGTAAATCCAGATCCCCTAAACGTATACGTATATTGCTTGCTATACTCACGAATGAACAAATTATTTACCCAAAGAAATATACATAATGTATCGCCTTTTTTAATGTTCACGGACGTTAAAAAATCAGATAAACTAAGGAAATGGTTAACTCATTTTATGTTTGATTTGTTTGATAAGGCATAATGTAGGCCTACTTGGCTACCGCAGCGTCCATCGTACAAACGCGAAAACGGACGCTCTTAATCAATGATCAGTTCACATTTCCACATCCAAAAGTATTTCATTTTTATTTTCATTTTATACATAATGTGTAATGTCATTTCTGTATATTCACATGGATTATAATGATGATAAATACATGTTTTACATTCTTACAGTTAATTTCATGTTTCAAAAATGTTAATAGTACGCAACAATTTCAAGACAACAGTAAGCGTTCTAAAATGCTGAAAATCATATGCGTTCAAAGTATAATAAATAATACACTCATTTACAAATAAGTGACTTTGGTATATTTGCAACGAGTTACTTACAAATCAACGTTTATGGGGACAACATTTTGGGCCAATATTAACGAAATCCTTGAATGCCAAGCTTGTTAATAAGCATTAATTTTTCGATATTGTAAGATGCCCAGCGTTCGTAAAATATAACTACATTGTATACTGTATATGAGGCATAGATCAGGTCGAATTATTTATAATGAAAAAAACAAACATTACGTTTCATTCATATTCATGCATATCTTATTTCCAATACACGAATTGCAAGTATTTACTTCATTTGCACACTAAATTACGTTAACAGATACAATCTAACAAACATCAGCGTTTGCAAAAATACGAAAATCACGTGCGTTCATAGCATAATAAAAAGTTACCTCAGTTAGTTTGCAATACAATTTCTTTAATTACTTGACCAGTAACGTATTATTCACCATTCATAGGGACATTATTCAATCTACTATATTCGGGCCGATATGCAATTAAACCTTGTCAACTTTGTTGAAACGCGTTTACTATACGATGTTGTAAGATACCCAGCGTCTGTTAAATCAACTTAAATCAAACTGAGACCGGGTCGATTTATTAAGACCGACCTAAACAAACATAAATAAATAAGAATAGATTATTCATTCTCAGTTGATGACATATTTCCCTGTGTATATAAACGCGTTATTTTGGGCCGATTTTGGGCCGATCTTGGCACTTTAGCGACATACATTTTCCCATCGGCCGAATCGGCCCAATGGCACTCAAAGGGTTAAGACATGTCCCATAACACATAGAGAAAGACCTGTCTAATATAAATGCCACTTGGAGTGAGCTGTAGTGTTCTGATTGGCTGGTGTTCACATTTTGAGTTTTTAACATGGAATTATGTAACAGTATATGGGATTGAAAAAGGTGTTTAAATTGACAGTTGTTCAGGTGGATTTAGTGGTTTTACTGTAAACATTTGATATTTGTTTCTTTCAGATTGCAGCCTCGTACAGAGAGTCTACTGAAAGAATTATTAACAGAACAAGTTGACTGTAAAACTAAATTGTTAAAGATCTTGGAAAGTCAACCTACATGTAAGTCACTTGATTTTGTAGCTATATAGCTATATACTTTATAGAGACCAAAATCAAATAAAAGATTGACTCAATTAGGTATAAGGGGACACCAAGGACAATGCTGCACTTCTTTCCTAGTTAAGATACCCCTCCTGAAATTTGACTTTAGATTATAATTGGATACTTATACAAAAAGGGATGTATTAAACTTGACCCTAGACTATTTAGTAAATCCCTGTTTTCCAATACAATATGTACTGAAGCATATGCTACATCTCTTCAAATTTTATTCATACCTATCAATAGGTATCAATGTAGGTTAGAATTTTTTTTCAATTCTTTAATGTAACTAGACTAATTTGGCAACACTTGTTTCTTGTATTTGATCTAAGCCTGATGGTCCGTTGTTTGGAAATGTACATGGCACACCCCTTTTTAATGGACTCACCTGAAATAAACACTTTGGTCATTACATAGCGATTGTTTTTGTACATTTCAAGAGGATAAATTTTTATTTCAGATTTATTATCTGCCTACATGCAGTGGATCCCACAATCTCGGCATTTAGAACTAGAAGCCATGTGGCCACCATTATAGGACTGACAGTGTTGCTATGGTAACACAGTTTATGCAGTGCGTCCCTCAATCTCGGCACTTGCCACTTAGAACTAGAAGCCATGTGGCCGCCACTATAGAACTGACAGTGTTGCTATAGCAACACAGTTTATGCAGTGGATCCCTCAATCTCGTCACTTAGAACTAGAAGCCGTGTGGCCACCATTATGGGACTGACAGTGTTGCTATGGCAACATGTTTTTTGCAATTGCAAAATCTCGGCACTTAGAACTAGAAGCAAGGTGGTCATCAATATAGACAACTGGCAGTATTGCTATGGCAACACTGTTTAAAAACATTGTAAATAGTGTTGAATGACAGGCAGTGGTTATGATAGATATAATTGTCAGAAGGTTGCATGTACATACTAGGCATACTAGGAAAAATTATATGAATATGAAATAAGAAATTATAAAAAACAAATTAATGTTTCAGTTGTGTTATGTAACTGTATATTGATTTTAATACTTCATTCCCATCTAACTCCTGTATTTGGTAATTTAATGCCTGTCAGTTTATTAACTAAAATACTTCATGTTCTCATATTCTGTCAACATGTACCAACTTTTTTTTTCATGAGACACTGGGATTTAGATCAAAACAAAAGTAGTAATTCCATGTCACTGTTATAACTCCATGTATTCCTACTGATGTTCTAGGTACATAACGAGTGGGAATATATAGTGTATTTAGTAGGGAGCGTTCACCAAGGTCCGGGACCAGGATCGATACACGCTGTATTCATCCTGGACCCGCTTCTTAAAAGCATACTAAATTTACATTTTACTCAATTCACAAAATAGAAATTTTGTTTCAAACTTATGCTTTTTTAAACTTTTTATTATCAATTCATTGATCTGCTCCAGAAAAATATGAGTTTGAACCTTTCACAAACTTAAAAACTACAAAAGTGCACTTTGAAGAAGGTATTTGAATTTTGGAACTTTATGAGGTATAATGTACCAAGAACATCAGTAGGTATAGAAAACATCTGTCCCTGGGGAGATACACATATTTCCCTTGGGATAAACCATGTATCCAAAACTTCCCAGTACATAACCCTTATATATCTTCATTATTAAAAGTACATTTAGAGAGCATTTAAACTATTTAATTCAATCATATATCATCCCAATATCTTGTCCTTCACCATAGCTTCTATCCAAGTATTCTCTGTTTATTGTGTGGGACATTTTTTATCGTATTAAAATATTCAAGATACTCTTATTTAGGACAAAATTTCATGTTGCTCTATTTGAAAGAATAATAACGATTGTTTGGTGAGCCCATTTTTTTGGCCAGTATAACCATGACACACATTGAGCACGAGCAGGACAGATAGCATTATTACTATGAAAACAAACACAATGAATAAAGGTATGTAAGTGCTTGTATGGATCAATTAGGGCTGGGAAGAAAGGGAAGTGGAATGTAGCAGATTTTGGAACTTGCCTTCGGAATTCTAAATTTATAGAAATAAGAACTAATTGACTTATTTCAATTTTGTAAAGATTTCTAGTCTGAAATCGTAAAAATTGATTAAAAATCATGATATTTTGAAGTTTTATATATCATAAAAAACAAGTGAACTTTTACAACATCAACCTTCATGTCATGTCTAAAAAATATTGTTTTATAGATTTACTACCGCTCTCAAGAGGGGAATTCAATCAAAATGCCAATTTTCTTTCAAAATATTGTCCATCTGTTGATGGATGTTATATCATATGTTTATTTGGAAGATTTGCTACTCTGATGTCAAGTAGTAAATCTTGTTCTTTATTGGATATACGGTCCCCTCCAAAGGTTTGGCAACAGAATGTTTTAATATGATAGCATATCAAATACTGTCAATGAATTTAGTTACTTAATTACAATTGTTCAGAAATATAGGACTGATGAATTGTTTTGTCACGATTAGAAGAGGTGACATGGTGACCTGTCACATGTTGACAGGTGACATGTTGTTATGGTCTCCAACTTTTTTGTGGACTCTGATTGGCATTTGGCGTCTGTAACAAATGCCAGGTGGGGACATTTTGTGTGTCAATGCCTTGTTTTAAATGGCGACACAAAAAATGTTTTAATATGTGATCAACCTGAAACTTCTGTTTGCCAAACTTTTGGAGGGGACCATATAGCTTTATTATTAAAGTTGTAGAAAAGAGGTATAGGAAGTGAATGACAAGTCTATATATTTAGTCTAACTATATTTAAACCTATTTGTTTTTATGTACATCATTTTTGAAGAGAAGCCCAGCCCACCTCATTTTGCACTATATTATTAATGCATTTTCAGGGCCCAAAGTACATTGCTAGGTGACCTGATGGTGTTTTTGAAGGCAGTTAGAGCATATGAATACTGTTTTATATTATTTCAGGGCCAAAGTGCATTGCTAGCTGAACTGATGGTGTGTTTGAAGACAACTGGCAAGTCTGTGACGATATTGAAACCTATTTATTTTATGTAGTACTACATAATATTTGGAGAGAAACCCAGCGCACCTCATTTTGCAATGTATTATTAATGCATTTTCAGGGCCCAAGTGCAAAGGCAGCTGGAGCGTGTGAATACTGTTCTTTTGTATTATTTCAGGGCCAAAGTACATTGCTAGCTGACCTGATGGTGTATTTGAAGGCAGGTGGAGCATGTGAATACTGTTCTTTTGTATTAATTGTATTATTTCAGGGCCAAAGTGCATTGCTAGGTGACCTGATGGTGTCTTTGAAGGCAGATGGAGCATGTGAATTCTGTTCTTTTGTATTATTTCATGGCCAAAGTGCATTGCTAGGTGACCTGATGGTGTCTTTGAAGGCAGCTCGAGCATGTGAATACTGTTCTTTTGTATTATTTCAGGGCCAAAGTGCAATGCTTGGTGACCTGATGGTGCTTTTGAAGGCAGTTGGAGCATGTGAATACTATTGTACTGTATCATTAATACATTTTCAGGGCCAAAGTGCATTGCTAGGGGACCTGATGGTGCTTTTGAAGGCAGTAGGAGCATGTGAATACGCTGGCTGCTCCACAGACTTCTGCTTCCAACATGGCATAAGGCATAAAGCAATGATTGAAATACGTAAACTCAGATCTCAGCTCACCAATGCAGGTATGGAAGGATCATGTTTATATGAATGATTGTAGCATTTTTTGCTCACACAGTAAGCATATGGAATAAATAAGCATCTGTCTGTCCATCAGTCCATCCATCTATCCGTCCATCAGTCTGATCTTCTGCCAACATACATGTAGGTGGTACAAATTAAAACTGCTTTTTGTATTAAGAAGTGTCTACATTCATTTTTATGTCACCATCAGAAATTGTGACATATTGTTATGGTCTCCAAGTTTTTTGTAGCCTTTGTTCGGCAATTGGCATTCAAAGGTAGGCAGATTTGACAGGGTTCGGGTTGACAGATTTGATTTATGTTTTATAGGCTGATATCTTATGTCTAGGAAAACTCAATATGACTGCTTAATTCGAAGTTACCCCACTTTTTGTAAAAAATAATCTTTGATGACTCAAATACAAGTAGTCGCATTTAGTTCAAATTGGCTGATGCCTAAGGACATAGAAGATTCAAGATGGCTGCCAATTTTCACAATTGCTCCAAAGTTTTGGGTAACAGCGTTATTTTTGTTAACTAAGATAAAAGTTGTCAGATTTGGTTTAAACTTAAAACCCTAATGTCTTGGAGAAATAGGATTTCTATCCACTCAATTCAAAGTGGCTGACATTTTTCTTAAAAAATGTAATTTTTGATTTCTCAATATTTGTATAATGTCAATTTTTTTAATATATAACAACCAGCCGATTCTTGTGGTAATTGTTGAAAGACCAAAATGGCACATGTAGGGTTCTTTGCCATTACCTAGTAAATAGGTAGAATAAGATCTGGAAATGGCAATTAGTGGGACGACATAAAGGGGTCTTTGAGGATAGGTAGATTAAAATCTGACAATAAATTGACAATTTAAGATAGAATAAATCACATAATCAAAGTCACGTATAACTTCATACATTTCTATAATAGTATATTTAAATTTTGAAGTCATTTATTATCCTATTATGTTCCCCTTCACGCCCATTTAGGACAAACTTTCATGTCAATCTTTTTAAAAGAATAATACCAATTGTTAGGTGAGCCAATTGTGTTTGGCCATCTGTACCATATCACACACACAATACCAGTAGGGCACCTAGCATTAGTACTATAAATACCAAACAGATTTGAATTTAGGCACCTATTAAACCACCAAGCCCCTTTGGAATAATGAACAGCACAATTGTCGCCCCATTTATCATTATCACGGTCGTTTGTGGTAAATGCCATACCATTGTGGTAACGAAGAGAGTTCCCCGCAGTTCCAGAATAACCTCCAATTGTCAATGTGTAGTTATCGTGTTCATCACTCACATCAAATTTGGAGTATTCAGCATACCTTGTTTCACTCTGTGGGGGCCACATGGTAAGTTCAACTCTGAGTTTATAGTTCCCTTGAGTTACTAAACCATGAAGGTTGTCCAGGCCAATGAAATATTCTCCTCCTGGGGAACCAAATCCTGACTGGTACTCTGTCCAGCCTCTGTAGAAATCAACACCCCCATCAAATCGCCTTGCCATGTAGACACACCCACCACTACAGTACACTCTGAATGCATTTTGTCCTGGTGGTTGGATTTTTCTAACACCAGTAAAGCATGTGTCATCACTACAGTCATGAGGCAAAGGTACTGAAAAACATAAAGGCATCATATAGTTAGAGTTTGAAAATATTCTCCAAACTAAATTTTTTCATGACTGCATGAAGAAATAATAATAAATATTTGATGACCGACTTTATACTCACGTCTGGTGATCAGAAGAAATGAATGGAGGGGGAGTAGCTGATTTTCTCTAGAAAATTCAACAAATCTGGAAGATTTATTTTTACTATTGTCATTGTTGGTTTTGTAAAATACATTACCATACGTTATATAATAAATAATCAAAAATTATTAGAATTGAACTGAGGGAGGGTAACGGAGGGGGGGGGGGGTGAATGGAAAGGGAGTATTGGAGTAATTTGTCTATAAAACATATGATAAGAGATGTAACTTGACTTTATTTCCAATAACTCCAAATATACCTAATTTTCACTTTCAGAGTTGTAACATCAACTTATTACTGAGTTACTGAGTTCAATTTTCAAATACACAAATCCGTGGAAATTTCTTTCACCTTAAAGACATATTACCCCCCTCCCTCCGTCCCCCCCCCCCTCCCCCTCTGTTTAATTTCAATTATCTATCTAACGTATGGAAACTTATTTTGAAAAACCAGCAGTGGCATTAAATTTGTGATGAAAACATCACTTTTAGTCGCTTGATTTACAGCAAAAACATTGACATTTGCATGTTGGTGATGCTGCACCTTTTCTAATAGATCGTATATTTTAGAAGCCTCTCGGTTAACAAAAATCACAGAAGACCTTAGATATTTCCTCGTGTACTGCCCCTATTAATTTAAGAATTCAATTGTAAACTTTCTGTTGGAAAAAATAAATCTTGCAGATTTGTTGCATTTTTAGCAAAAATCAACCACTCTCCGTTCATTTCTTCCGATCATTGAGCGTGATACTACTAGACTAAATATTGAAACAACTTATATAATAGTAGTAAGCTGTCTTACCTTCTGATTTACTTTGTAAATTGTCCTGTATCCTTTTCAAGTGATCTTTTATAAGAGTTACATCAGCTTTCATCTCATCAACCTTGTCATTTACTTCTTCCACTTTATCATTTACTTCTTTCACTTCATCATTTACTTCTTCCACTTTATCATTTACTTCTTCAATTTTATCATTTACCTTTTCCACTTTAACATTAACTGCATTCATTTTTTCTTCATCTCTTGTGCAGCAGTTTTGTGTATCAGATTTTAGTTCACTAAGCTGTGTGCTCAAGCGTGCATCAAGGTTGTCAATATGCATTTTCTTGCATGTACTGTTTTTTTTAGTTTTTTTTTGCAAACGAACATCTCCAACGAGGAATACTATAAACAATACTTTAAGATACATGATTCTAGCAAGATGCGTGTTGATCAGATATTGACGGTGCTTGGTTTAAGTTGATTTACCTGAGAATGAAAACATATTTTTTACTTTGCATGCATCATTAATTTAACCGCTTTGCATCGAGCAGATAATTATGTGCAATATCACTGTGATTTAAAGACATGCTATACCTTCTGGAGCACCTTATCTATGGAGAACAAGGTTATAGGAATAGTGTGCCATTTCACTTTTGACATGAACAAATTGGTAGTCAAAACATATATGGGGCTGGGTCAATATTTGAATGTCCTCCAAAAAAAGATATTTAATTTAGTAAGGGATTTTACCCCCCCCCCTCCCTCTCCTCTTCTAACGAAGGTCAAAATGTTGATATCTTATTATGTACAGGTATTTGAACATCAGGTGTATGATGCCATTCTCACACGTTTTCTACATGCCAAAAGTCCTCTGATTTTTTATTACTCTGGCAACCATTTATAATTGAGTATTTCTGTTATACCAAATATTTTTGTTATATTTTTGACAATTTCAATAAAAAAGTTGAAAACACCTTTATTATTACCTGCATACGAGATATGTATTTAAATATATGCTTTCGTATCATAAGGACTTATCTCAACAAAATTGCTAATTAACAAGGGTAGAGCATGTCTTTAACAGTACATTATTTAATCAATTGATTTTGCGATCATCAGAAAATAGATGAGGTAATATATTAAACAATAATGTTTGAAAGTATTTTTCATCTCTGATCTCCGTATGTACATATCATTTATAAAACCCATCACAACTATCTATTGCTCATTTAAAAGTATTGAATATTGTTTGCAGTTTTGTATTAAGTAATTTTCACCTCATCTCCATATTTACATATAATGAATAACAAAGCAACATTGTAACTATTTATTGCTCATTTAAAAGTATTGATCTGTTTGTTTTTCATCCTTGTTAGATACCTTTCTACTTTTCATTATTTTTTATGTTGCATATTGTGACATATTGTTATATTATCCAACTTTTTGTAGATGGTGTTTGGTGTCGGGGGGGGGGTATAATGGCATCGGTAACAAATTCTAGCAACTTCCAATAACTTAACAACCTTCAAATTTTTCCTGTGAACAGATATAAACATTTCATGAGTTCTAACACATTTCTGCCAATAGCTGTTACCATGACAACATATTGAAGGCTGAAAGAGCCATCTTTTTCTACTTGATTGTTCAAATTTACCAATTTTTACAAAATCATCTCATCTGTAGCAATTATTACACTTTTGTTACTATTTGCAAGTGGTGACATTTTGGCAATTTTTTGTTATTTTGCTATGACTCAAATAGTCATCATGGTTCAATTTTGTTGAAATTTTATATATGAATTCTTTGAAGCATTTTTTTCCAATGACATGGTCAGTAGATTTTTCAAAACTGATTGTCAATTTTGTTATTCTACATTTTCCGCTATTCTGAGAAAGTAATAGAATGATGTTGTTGACATTTTATATATGATAACTCAGATGAATACTACACTGTCTAATGAAAATTCGGCAAATAGATGACAATTTCAAAAAATGGCAGACATGGTCTTCTTTTTTATGATTTTTGCTGTAACTCGCAATAAAAATAGTAGGGTGATTTTGTTCATGTTTGATGAACAAATTTTAAAAGTTTAAGGCTCAGAGTTGCTAACTCAAACACTGCATGGTTGCTGGATCTGGTTCAAATTTCATATGCTGATGCTTTAGCAACAAAAGACCTCTGCTCACAAGAAAATTTTTAAGCTGGCCACTTATTTGACATTGTCATCAATTGTCATAAAGAATGTAATTTTTGATAACTTAGATGCAAGTCAAGGATTTGGTTGATATTTTGTGGGCTAATGTCCCATGTAATGACACCTTTGCTCAAGAACAAAATGGCTGCTAAATTTAGAATGGCTACCTTTATATACAGGGTCCAACACTTTTCAGGCTGATGTGACGTGATGTCCTATGGACATAAAACTACTATTCTACTTCCTGCTCATTTCTATTATGAAATTTTAATATGATGGGATTTGCTACTCCAGGGAATTGCTGTTTTCTAGTTATTTATCTTTATTGTAGTAAACTCAGTTCTACTAGCAGTTAATGTTATCATGGATCCAAAGATGGCACACCCTAGTGAACTACAGGCGAAACTTTTATGTCAAATTATCCTGACAGGGCTTTCTGATCACATTGCAAGGTATTTATGTCACATTTTAATTTCAGCAATTCCTCAAAATACCCAGTTGCTAAATCAGTAAGTTCAAGGATTGTGCACAATTGGATTTGAGTCATGTGGTGTTTAATTTTACTATTTTGTTGACTGATATTTCAGAAAACTTCCAGAACCAAATACTGGAACAAATGAAGAAAAGAAAAGGTTAAAGATGGCATATCAGGTTAGTTTCATGCTTTCTTTAACTCATTTTAATTTTACGGATTATACTACTTGGTCACATAGAGGCTCGTACCCAGGATTTGCCAACGGTGGGGGGGGGGCACTTTTTGAAAAATGTCAAAGGGCTTCACTTTTGACTACTTTAGCCCAAAAAAGATCCAAATCATTTGGAAAGGGCTCAAAATGGTGAAACACTGCACGATTTTGAAAGAAATTTTGGCCAGGGGGTGTGCTTGAACCCCTCAAACTCAAACCCTTGGCTACAAGCCTGATGTAACAGCATTTAATTTTGTGTTTTCCTGTGACTTTAGAAGACAATAGAACATTTTTTAAGTTTTACAACAATATTTTCAATGTTCAGACTTGAGATTTAGGCCATTTTATCTGCACATACTTGAGCCTGATTTAAAAGTGCTGATATTTCCTAACCTTTGATTAATAATGGCCATGTTCACTTGATTTGCAGTTCCATTTTTTCTCATTCTCAAGTGTTTGAAAATCACCAACCTATTCCAAAATACAAGTGGGTACTCGGCTCAATTGCTTTAATGCTTGGTAGATCACTGCTCCATGCTCAATGGGATTCATTGGCATTTTGATCATTAGATTTGCATAATTGTTTTAGAGTATACACCTAGAGGAGCCTGTCTACATACATCCCAATTCTGTGCTATACAAACAAAACCATGAATATGTAGTGTTCCAAGACATCACAGAAACATCGAAACTCTACATGAGAGGTGAGATCAGCTAAATTGTATTTTCATAACTGCATATGATAAATCGGACAAACTTTGGATGAGCTGACGAGGATAAAGTTAGAAAGAAGGGAAACTTTCAGAGAGAGGGTGCTAAGAAGGAAGAAAAACATCCGACACCTGGCACCATGTCAAGCGTTTATATACTAACACATATTAGTACTCACAAACTTAATGGCAGATAAAGAATAGAATTGAAATGATATATACATGTAATGAATATATAAACTCGTACATGCATAATTATATAAACCTGAAAATCATTACAGTATTCTCCAATATTGTAGGTGTTTCCGTGATAGAGGCAGAGTGGCTGCCAGTGTTTGTGCCCCATGGTTGTACATTTTCTAAACCCCTTGACTCACCTCCGCCAAGATACGATAGTTCATCAGGGAATGTTCTTGCACACATGACGAGTACATTTGGTAAGTTCCCTGATATTTTTATTTGTATCATCCATAATCTTTGAAAAATCTCTTCTCTCACAAGTAGTGACATATAGTTATCGTCTCCAACTTTTTATGGATTATGTTTTGCGTTTGATGTTTTGTGGGCAGCATTTGGTGATTGGCTGTTAGCACCTGTTACAAATAGCAGGTGGTGACATTATGCATGTTAATGCCTTGTTAAACTTGCCTTTAAAGATGATGCTCTGAATGATAATAATGGTAAGTGAGACATTTTGCACAGGGGTCCGTTGTTCGGAAATCCCTGCAGTTGAGCTTGAGTACCCAGAGTGAATAGACCGCGTCAAGTATTTTGCTAGGTTCCCATTGGTATATGTTGTATGTTAATAGAGACACTTTATTACAGGGGTTCGTTGTTGGGAAATCCCTTCAGTTGAGCTGGAGTACCCAGAGTGTATAGACCGCGTCAAGTATTTTGCTATGTTTCCATTGGTATATGTTGTATGTTAATAGAGACACTTTATTACAGGGGTCCGTTGTTGGGAAATCCCTTCAGTTGAGCTGGAGTACCCAGAGTCCATAGACCGTGTCAAGTATTTCGCTAGGTTCCCATTGATATGTTGTATGTTAATAGAGACAAATTATTACAGGGGTCCGTTGTTGGGAAATCCCTGCAGTGGAGCTGGAGTACCCAGGGTGCATAGACCGTGTCAAGTATTTCGCTAGGTTCATTTTAGAGGGACTTGTATGTCCGAAGCTGAAGTGCTTCAGAGAGGATCTGCTGTCTGCGCCTGCCACCATGAATAAGTCATGGGCCAAGTAAGTAATTATGTAGCACATATCTTTGAGATGCATTGACAAAATATAGCTACTTAAGCAATTCATTGTGTATACCGTATTCTCTGTAATTAGCGCCCAGGGCGTTTAGAAAATTGAAAATACATTATTTAGACCATTCTAATAAGCGCCCATGTATGAAAGAAATCAGAAATCCCGAGGAATTTCATGTATGGCAATTTTTCTTGACAAGAATGCATTTTCTTCAACATATTTTTATAATAATATGACAAGTGCTGTCATACGGAGAGAATACGGTAAAGATCGCTTAGACAATATTGACAGTGGTTGAAGACCCGTCTATGTCTAATTTATTTCCGGCACGCCCACTTTGTCATTATCGCCGATTACCTTCAATATTTCCACTAGAGACTGCTGGATATCGATCTAAAGTTATACATTATTTCTAATTTGATGAGAGATCATCATTATTCGTGCAAAAGTCGTGTAAAAGTCGAGAAACATTAAAAAGAAACCAGAAAGTTCACGACCTTGACATGCGCAGAACATCTGCGCAGTAGCTTTTGAAATTTCTGAATGCCGATAAAGAACAATTCCTTCATTCATTATGGACTATTTGGAGACAATATTAGCATGGTATGGTGTGGGAAGCACCCATCGATAGATATGTATCGAGAGGATGCATAGAATTACAAAACGCGTCGTGTTTACAGCAGTTTTAAGGTAAGTACTCTATTATCGCCCGCTCCTGGATTTTGAGAAATATTTTTTTCCTGATATATTCTTCAATTCTTGTTGATTCCTCGATGTTTCTTGAACTTTGTGAAGCGGGGTGGGCGCTTATTAGAGAGTGGGCGGTAATTACAGAGAATACGGTATTTCGATTTGCAATTTGTATTAATCATATTCGTTTAAGACATGTCCCATAACACATAGAGAAAAACCTGTCTAATTCAAATGCCACTTGGAGTGAGCTGGAGTGATCTGATTGGCTAGTGTTCACATTTTGTGTTTTTAACATGGAATTATGTAACAGTATATGGGATTGAAAAAAGTGTTTAAATTGACAGTTGTTCAGATTTAGTGGTTATACAGTAAATATTTGATGTTTATTTCTTTCAGATTGCAGCCTCGTACAGAGAGTCTACTGAAAGAATTATTAACAGAACAAGTTGACTGCAAAACTAAACTGTTAAAGATCTGGGAAAGTCAACCTACATGTAAGTCACTTGATTTTGTAGCTAATGATGTCAATACTTGATTGTGAATAAAGTCTTATATGAATGTTGAAAGTTGGGTATTGTACTATATAAAGAGACCAAAATCAAATAAAAGATTGACTCAATTAGGTATAAGGGGACACCAAGGACAATGCTACACTTCTTCCCCAGTTAAGATACCCCTCCTGAAATGTGGCTTTAGATTATAATTGGATACTTATACAAAAAGGGATGTATTAAACTTGACCCTAGACTATTTAGTAAATGCCTGTTTTCCAATACAATATGTACTGAAGCATATGCTACATCTCTTCAAAATTTGTTCATACCTAACAATAGGTATCAATGTAGGTTAGAATTTTTTTTCAATTCTTTAATGTATCTAGACTAATTTGGCAACACTTGTTTCTTGTATTTGATCTTAGCCTGATGGTCCGTTGTTTGGAAACATACATGGCACACCCCTTTTTAATGAACTCACCTGAAATAAACACTAGTCAACATAGCTATTTTTTGTATACACTTCAAGAGGATCATTTTTTTCTATTTCAGATTTATTATCTGCCTACATGCAGTGGATCCCACAATCTCGGCATTTAGAACTAGAAGCCATGTGGCCACCATTATAGAACTGACAGTGTTGCTATGGCAACACAGTTATGCACAGATCCCGCAATCTCGGCACTTAGAACTAGAAGCCTTGTGGCCACCATTATATGACTGACAGTGTCACTATGGCAACACAGTTTATGCAGCAGATCGTACAATTTCGGCATTTAGAACTAGAAGCTGTGTGGCCACCATTATAGGACTGACAGTGTTGCTATGGCAACACAGTTTATTAAGTGGGTCCCTCAATCTCGGCACTTAGAACTAGAAGCCATGTGGCCATAATTATAGAACTGACAGTGTTGCTATGGCAACACAGTTTATGCACAGATCCCGTAATCTCGGCACTTAGAACTAGAAGCCTTGTGGCCACAATTATATGACTGACAGTGTCACTATGGCAGCACAGTTTATGCAGCGGATCGTACAATTTCGGCACACTAGAACTAGAAGCCCTGTGGCCACCATTATAGGACTGAGAGTGTCACTATGGCAACACAGTTTATGCAGTGGATCCCTCAATCTCGACACTTGGAACTAGAAGCTGTGTGGCCACCATTATTGGACTGACAGTGTTGCTATGGCAACATGTTTTTTGCAGTGGCAAAATCTCAGCACTTAGAACTAGAAGTAAGGTCAACTGGCAGTGTTGCTATGGCAAGACTGTTTTTGCAGTGGATCCTACAATTATGGCACTTAAAACTAGAAACCATATGGTCAACGAAATAGGACTGGCAGTATTGCTATGGCAACACAGGTTAAAACATTGTAAATAATGTTGAATGACAGCAATGGTTATAATTGATATAATTGTCTGAAGGTTGCATGTACATACTAGGCATACTAGGAAAAATTATATGAATATGAAATAAGAAATTATAAAAAACTATGTTTCATTTGTGTTATGTAACTGTATATTGATTTTAATACTTCATACCCATCTAACTCCTGTATTTGGTAATTTAGTGCCTGTCAGTTTGTTAACTAAAATACTTCATGTTCTCATATTCTGTCAACATGTACCAATACCAACGTTTTTTTTCATGAGACACTAGGATTTAGATCAAAACAAAAGTAGTAATTCCATGTCACTGTTATAACTCCATGTATTCCTACTTATGTTCTAGGTACATAACGAGCGGGAATATATAGTGTATCTAGGGAGTGTTCACCAAGGTCCGGGACCAGGATTGATACACGCTGTATTCATCCCGGACCCGCTTCTGAAAAGCAAACTCTATTTACATTTTACTCAATTCACGAAATATTTATTATATTTCAAACTTTTTTTTTTTTATTTTAACTTTTTAATATCAATTCATTAATCTGCTCCGGAAAAATATGAGTTTAAAAGTTTCACAAACTTAAAAACTACCTTTTAAGACCGGGAAAAGGCGTACTTTAAAGTACATATTTGAATTTTGGAACTTTATGAGGTATTATGTACCAAGAACCTCAGTTGGTATGGAAAACATCTGTCCCTATGGAGATACACATATACCCAAGAGATCACTAGACGTCCAGTAGATGACCTTCTGCTTCTAATGAAGGTAAGTGAAAGAGGAGGAAATACTGTAAAACGGGTATTGTTAGCGAGGGGTAATTGTTAGCGATTGTTAGCGATCGCTATAGTTTTGCTAAAAATTCAATTCGCTAAAATAAACCGGGGTTAAAATAAACCGGGCGCTAAAATTTGCAAATTCCCGGGAAACTACATGAATACTAGTATTTAAGGAGCTTTTCGTTCAGTGCTCGACTTCCGGTTTGTAATTTGAAAAAGGTAAATATTTTTAAATCGTATGTTTCTTTCAATATCTGAAGGATAAATAGCCATCGATCATGAGATTACAGTATTTTGGATCAATACCATGTGCGTTAGAAGTCTTACATTTTGATAATTCCTCTGTCATGTCCGTTATTCATTCTTTTGCCATAAATGATAAAATTTCTAATGCATTTCGCTAATTTGATTTTTTAAAGATTAATCTTCATTTCGCTAAAATTTCCCGCGCTAAAACCCCCTAAAATTGAAAAATCGCTAAAATTTCCCAGTGTCAAAATTACCCGTTTTACAGTACCCAGAATTCATAGGTGAACCAATTTCCGTAAGCTACGTGTAAAAATGAACATACAGAAAATCTTCTTTCTACTGAGATTGGTTCATATTTTAATTCTGGGATATTTCCCTGTTATTCTATGATTCCATGAACACTTGAGTGATTCTTCTTTATATAGATGTCATCTTTTAATGATAGTGTTACTGACTGTTTCGTGAAAAAATACTGTATGTCACTGTAGTTTTGATAAATCAAAAAGTTTATTTAGAAGCTTTTCTTATGTTTTTGCAGGACCTCAATATTGATAAAGTGGTGAATTTCCCATTTCCCAGCCCTCCAGATAGACTAGCTTTGAAAGTAGGCTTTTTTAATTTCCAAGTTTATTTCAAACAATCATTGAATGTTTAAAATAGATTGAATTCCCAAGGTTAATACATTAGTGGCAAGAAAGTGAAATGTATTGAGTCATTTCATCGTAGATTGTATTACATTTTAGAGCTCAATGTTTTCTGTGTTTGAGTATTATGAATAAATGTAGTTCATTTGAATGATGAAAAGCTGTTCCTCCCATGTTGTTATCTGCCAATTTTGCATAGATATGATGTACCAATACAAGTCACTTATCAACCAATCAAAATAGGACAGAAATGCTACCAATTCATGCAAAATACCAATCACAGTTAAACCTGTGCAATTCAAACACTTTTTTGCTACCTCTTAAAGGTGTTCCACTTGGGAGGTTCTCTCCACTTGCAGACGTTCATTTAACATTATGCATCGCATGAAAATACCCTATCACATTCAACAGTATTAAGTATTAAGTCATTTGGTTATATGTAGTGGGACTCTGAAAAGTGTTATACGGTCATTCCACATATAAGAAGACATTCGTGTCGCCAAGGGTTTTTTCTCAAGCGTTAATAGATATATATAAAAACTTTTTAAGAACACCTACTTAGGACCAATACCCACTTGTACAACCACCAAACAGCAAATTTTAATTGTTTGGTAGTAAGTGAGAATTTTTTCTAACTTAATTTGATGACAAATTCCTCAGGTACGTTATGTCGCCAGAGTGCATAGTGATGTTTTATAAGCATAACTGAAGTAGTTATAGATTTCAGAACACATCCAAACTTCTTGAAAAGATACCTGTGGGTGTATACTGTATTTTACCAACGTTTCGAGTAATTTAATCCTTTCTAACCTAATAATCGGATGCCCGGAACCCATGTCGCCAGTTTTTTTTCTAAAATACCACTTTAGATATTTTAATTTCTAGAGAATGCACGAATCACTTAAATGTTTAACCCAAAGTGATAATTTATCAGAAAATGATTTATCAAAATGCATGCAAAACTTTGTACGGAAAGTGCGAAATAAGTTGATTACCTCAGCAATAAATGCTGGTAACTCAGTGGAGGAGATCATCCCGTGATCCCATGATACGCCATACTTTATTTGCAGTCAAAGGAAATGGGATTTCTTCCTAATAATCCCTAAATAATACAGCAATCGTGTAAGTACAACACCTGTATCTTTTGCCTAAGCAAAGCTGGTTAATTAAAGATCTAGGATATCCCGATTCGGTTGAAAGATATTCTATATAAACAACTTAATTGGTCATTGTTAAAACATGATGTCAACTTTTTTCCCAAATCACATACGACTTGAGTTTTACATCAATTAAGGTACGTTGCTTTTGATAACGTCGCTTAATACTTGTTTTATTTCTGTCTTAATAGTGGTAACTAACCCGGGAATTCACAATTTGTTGCAGAATATGGCCAAGACTAAAGCATAAATTCCAAAGAATTATAAAGAAAGAAAGAAAAGAATCGAGGGACAAAAATACCTTGAAAAGGAACGTATCAGAAGAAGATGGAAAACAATTGAAATAAGATGATGAAAATCGCCGCCAGTGACATGCAATTGATCTTGCAAAAGTGGAGCACATCTACAGTGTGTCTCAAAAGAAATGTTACACTTACAAAAAGTTCAATATCTTTCATAATTTTGACTTTTCCCCTAAAATGTACTTTGGATACCAAAAGACAAATCTTTCTCAAATAATTTGACACCATCAGATTCAAAATCTGTCCTTGATTGGCTCCTGGGGACAGCTTTTAGTGTCCCATGGTCAAACCTGACTTGCGCCAACTTCTAAGTGATTGGATGGACCAAATGACAAAAGAGGAACAGTTTCTTTAACATTTAACTTTCTTCTGAGTAGAAGCTTGACCTTTACCGGAGTCATTCTGTAATTTTCCTATTTGTCTTACATATGATCATTGGGTCTATCCACATACACATGATGAAGAAACATGCATGTTCTCCAAAGCAAATCTGAGATACCCTTGCTCATGCGCACATGCATTGTAATATCACACTGATTCTATCAATTGTTTTTGCAGAAGTTCATAAGGTCAGTTTGTGATGATGTAAAGCGCTTTCAGAGGCCCTTCAAAAAATAAAGGTTGTTAAGTGGGGTGACCCTGGGGGCCAATCCATTTTGTAATTCAATGCTATCTTCTGATTTCCAAAGAGTTCTACCAAACAATCTGCCACAGGCTTTTGTACCATCCTGTTGCCATCATAACAAAATTGAACACTCTGACAATGAAATCTTGTATTTCTATCCAGAAAAGAAACAACTGGATCATTGATCATATCAAGCATCCACACCAAAAAAGAATTGATCACCACATATCCAACCACTGAGAAATTGACGCAAATCAGATTTCACATGAGTTTATAAAATCTGTCCTGTGCAGTCAATCATGGACGGATTTTGAATCTGATGGTGTGAATTTATTCGAGAAAGACTGGTCTTTCGGCATATAAGTATATTTTGGGAAAAAAGTCAAAATCATGAAAGATATTGAACTTTTTGCAAGTGTAACATTTTTTGAGACACACTGTAGTGAAAACGTTGGGTAAAATCTTAAGCTTATTCCAGTGAAATAGACATTTGACATTTGTAAAGGAACGAAATGTCTTAGATTTAAGCGACGTTCTCTTTCATTTGCCTCTACTATGAAGCATTTTATGTTTTGTTGTTTAAGATGTTGTTATTG